TGCAGGCGTAACACTAGGTGATTTTGTCTTTCTTGTATTTCTACTTATTTGAAGCTACAACGTAGAACTTCGTACGTACGTACATCAGTTGAAGTTGACATACCACATTAGCACAAAGATGTGCAATTGTCAGTTTAAATCCCATGGTGGTACAGATAGTAGAAGTATTAGTGTTAATAAAGAAGATTAGGGTTCGAAGATACTACTCAAGAAGTATAATTCAGTGAGATAAGTTTAGAAAGAAAAAGATAGATGTGGCAAGGAATTCAGATTAGAAAGAATGAATGCACGTGCGCTATTGAAAACGATGTTGAGCCATGTCATTCGAAGTCTCTAACCATCGGTTACTATCATCCCGCTGACACCAACCTGGTAGTCTACACTTACTAACATAACTTAGTCCAACTGTTAGTGACTTCATGGATTTGTGCCATATTTTGGTCTGATTGCCCCTAACTTTCTCCCATCCTGCTATTACTGCAGACAACACTGCTGTTCGACGTATTCGGCGATCACAGTTAGGCGTGTCCCAACTACTTCAACTGATAAACATTCACTGCTTCATCAATTGATTTGCCATCCTTACCTAGTACCCGTTTCCTAACAACAACAATGCTTACTTGGTGTTCCCAGTATATACAAGTAATACTTCGAAGACACCTATGGTCGACAACAACCAGTAAGCTACATATATCCCCTCCACTCAATGTTGGTCATTTTATGACTCACTGTTACTTATTATGCTTTAGTTATTTATTTATAGTTAATCGGGAAAAACTGATAAAATTTTAAATCGACATAACTCAATCATTTATCACGTACACATATATATTCATGAACTCAGTTTTGAGTGACTTAGTGTGTGTGATAACTAGTTACAGTACTCGAGTGAATCTATTGCTTAATAATGAGTGAATGTGTTAGGATATTCACCAAATATCTTAAGAGTGCTATTTTTGGAAGTATAATCCTATTGGTCGATTTCTATTGGTCAAAATTAGGATCGTTTTGACTGCCAAGGTCAAATACTTCAATGTTGTCTCTGATTGGTCATCCGGACTATCAATGTCATTTCAAATGTTCTTTCCTATTGGTCGTCGTCCTAAACTGTCAATGTCAAAGACTTTGATGCTCTTTCCTATTCGACCAAAATGTATAAATACGCACTATATGTAAAAGACTTCATGATTCCGATTCCATTTCTTCCTGCCTACCTATCTTCTTTACTCAACCCAATAAACAACTCCATCCAACGGTGTTGCGTTCTGATATTAAATAGGAGATTTGGAAATAGTATTTTGGGTCGTATTGGGATATTTGAATTTGGACGCCGCTAAGACTGAATAGCTAGCTATACGTAGCAGCATTATAACAGAATGTTTTAACCACCAATTTATACAGTTGTCCAACAAATATTCAATCTGATCAGATTATTTATTAATGAGAAGGCATTAGAGTAAAGACTGTAAAAAAAATAAAACTCACGAATTCATAAAAACACTAATTTCCCATAAAAACACTGTATCTTCAGACATCCACTTTTCTTCAACTGATACTTCATTACGTTGTGATTGATGACCACCACCACCACCACGTCGCCCACCACCGAATTCTGTATCATTATCATCATCATCATCATCGGAATTGTACAATGAACCACGACCAGAACGACCATAAGAACGAAAGTTATTATTACGTGATTGTCGCCGATTTGAACAAGGTATACCTACACGCCAACCTTCATCTACAGCTGGATCATAATCAGGATCTTTACCACCTTGACCATTTTTTTGACCTCCACGTCGACCTTTCCGCCTGGTAGTTGACTCTTCAGGTTCTGGAGAATTATGAAGAGATGAACCTTTGGCAGATCTGCTCCTATTAGATGCATCTGTAGTTTTTCGTCTACGATTAGAATATGAACGAGCTGGATAAGTTGTTGTTATACGAACTTTATAATTGGCTTGTAGCCAAAATCGGTCCTGTGAGTAAAAAAAGATATTAGAATCTCAACACATTGATAATAATCGTTTCTGAAAATCATTTAAAAAACATCTGCACTACAAAATAAAAGTCAGTCAGTCGGTTACAACGTAGAACTTCGTACGTACGCACGTACATCAGTTCACATTGCCATACCACAATATCACAAAGATACAATTGTTGATTCAAATCCCATAGTAATAGAAATAGTAAAGGTATTAGCAGTAATCCAAAAGATGAATGATCGAATATATTGTTTGCGACGTATATGCCAGAGAAATCGATTAAAAAAGAAAAAGACGGCCATGAGAGAACACAAAGAATGGATACACCTGTACCATTTCAAACGATTTTGAGCCATGTCATTCAAGGTCTCTAACCATCGGTGACTTTCGTCTCGCGGACCCTGACCAGGTAGTCTACATCTATCAACATGACTCAGTCCATTTGTCAGTAACTTCATGGATTTCTGCAATGTATTGGTCTGGCCGCCTCTAGCTTCCTCCCAACCTATGCCTACACCACAAAGCATAGTTTGACGAGGCAGTAGGTGATTGGGTATTCTTAATACATGTCCCAATCACCTCAACGAATGTAGTTGAATTACTTTATCTATTTATATGAAACCCTTACCTAGTACTCGTTTCCTAACGACAGCATCACTTACTCGGCTGTCCCATGATAAAAGAGCAATGCTTTGGAGACATTTATGATCGAAAACCAGCAATCTACGAATACGTTCTACTCTGACTGGATATGTTTCACAGCGATTACACTCGTCCTCAGATGAACAAACGGATATCTTGCCTGCACCATAAGTTACACAAGTTGGCAAAAAGCCAATCGAGCCTTCTGTATCCGTGCTGAGATTTCATCACACACCAAACTATCAACACTGATATGAATCCCCCAAGTACGTGAAGCGATCGACACACTCAACTGCTTCACTCCCCTATATCACTCTAATTTATGTGCCGATACAAGTCAATCCTGCAGCATGTTAGGATATTCATCCAATATCCTAACAGAATTATTGGTCGATTCCTATTGGTTAATTCCTACTGGTCTGTTTTATGGTCGTCCTACATATCATTGTCACGTGCTTCAAATGTTGTTTGCTATTGGTCGTCTTAACTGTCAATGGTCACAGACTTCGATGTTGTTCCCTATCCGACCAAAATGTGTAAATACGCATTATCTGTAACGTTTTGTGACCACAACCAAGACCCGGTCCCGGATCCCTAGTCCGGGATCCTGATTCTCTTCTGGATTCGGACCTCGTACTTTCTGGGTGCTTGTAGAATACAGGTTCTACTTCAAATCACGTCTTCTTATTTTAACAAAATATGGGGGTTGGGATAATCGGATTAGAGTAGCATGTCGTATCGCCAGATCCTCGATCCTCGTTCGTTTTCTGACTAGATAAACCCGTAATAGTTTAAGCATACCAGGTTGACGTGTTTACGTGAAGACGTAACACAGCAACATTTTGTAAATTAAAGAAAAAAAACAACTTACAAGAGGTTGAATTTCAACTATACGTCGTACGCTATACGGTTTATTATCATCATGTTTTCCGGGAACGTTACTAACACCACCGCCACCACCAATAACATCATCGTCATCTTCATCATCATCATCATCAATATGTAGAGTTTTTTTAAAACATGGTCGTCCATTCGAGTCATGCACACAAAGATCTTTATCCGGTTCCATTAACATATCATCCCATCGAATACAATGCCATAATGTACGTAAAAGTAAAGCAATATTAGCTAAATCCAATCCGAATGAATAGCTATTCATATCTTTTTGGCAATTGTTAATTCGTATTTGACTAAGACGAAAACGCCAACATTCTGCAAAATTTGGCCTTGAACTAGGATATGACCAATTGATCTATGAATAAAAAGCATAACAACAAGAAATGATATAATATTTTACATATATATATATAGTAGTAGGTAAATAATACTTGTATGATTGTGTATTGTAAAAATCTTATATGAATAATAATAGGTAAGTGAAAGAGAACACAGGTGAGGGCAACCGAATTGTATTTAACGAAAATTACAGAGTTACTCAGTAAAATAGGGAAAAACCATATCGCATAAATCGTTCATTTGCAAAATATCAGTTCATCATAATATCGAACTGGACTGTTGTTCCTGTTGCAAAACATCAACAATCCATCGTCACTTACTATTCATGCGTTTCATACACAAATTCCATTGTGTTCTAACTCTTCCTTTCTCTTGATCTTCCCCCATCTTCGGCTGCCAGACAATACGTTGACGCTCACGTCATATACTAATTATAAGTAGCTCGCACCATAGCACCACAAGTTACAACAAATACATGGGAAAAAAACAGCAAAAGTTCGCTGTACTGTTTGGACTGTAGGAAAGTAGGTGATAGGCTAAGCGAGTATTAGATATATATGTAACATGTGCATACACTAAGATGCTGTCCATTTGAAGTTGAACGATTAGAAGTCAGAAATCAATAATGAGGCATGTTATTGAGGCAAGTCAATCAGACAACTAGTCAGAGCATCAGTTAACATGCCCTTGTTAGGATCAAAAGGACGATTATCCGTATACGAACCTCTGATTTATGCACAATCAGACAAACAGAAATAACATAGAACTTGGTAAGTCAGTTGCAACGTAGAACTTAGTACGTATATACATAAGTTCATGTTGCCATACCAAATTAGCACACACAGACGCAAATGTTAGATCAAATCTCATAGTGATAAAGATAGTAGAGGTATTAATGGTAATGAAGAAGACTAGGGTTTGAAGATATTATTCAAGAAGTATCATTCAGTGAGGTAAATTTAGAAGGAGAAAGGTAGAGGTGCTGACGAATCCAGAAGATTAGGATTTGAGAGAGCACAACGAATGGATGCACTTGCGCCATTGCAAACGATTTTGAGCCATGTCATTTAAGGTCTCTAACCATTGGTGACTTTCGTCTCACGGACCCCAACCAGGTAGCCTACATCTACCAGCATAGAACTTCGTACGTATGTACATCACAGTTCAAGTTGCCAAACCACATTAGAACAGAGAGAGAGAGATCAAATTTCCAGTTCAAATCCCAAAGAAGTAGAGGTAGTCGAAGTATGAGCAGTAATGGAGAAGATTAGGAATCAAAGATATGAATCGAGAAGCAAATCCCAGTGAAACAAACTTGAGAAAAGAGAAAGACAGAGGTTATGAGGTATTCAGAAGACTAGAGAATTTCAGAGAAGACAAACAATGGATGGATGAGTCTGCGACATTGCAAACAATTTCGAGCCATATCATTTAATGTCTCCAACCACTGGATACGATTGTCTCGAGAACCCCAACTTCGTAGTCTACACCTACTAACAGGGCACAGTCCAGTTGTCAGTGACTTCATGGATATGTGAGGTGTTTTGGTCTGGCCGTCCTCAGCTTTCTTTCAGACAACCCCCTACATCAGACAACATCGGTAGTCGAGGTGGTCGGTGGTTAGACATACGCAACATTACAGTTCGATCTGATAACTAGACCTTCTTAATCACTTTTCAGTCTTTTCATATGCATAAGGGGTTTGCTGTACTGCAGTCAGTGTATAATAATACAAGAACCGAATCGGACCACAGAAAACAACCATCGGTAGGCTGTTAAACATTTCGACCAAGTTGCCAATAAATCTGATAACACATAGCGTGCTTTTAGCGCATAGAAAGTGTGCGCTTAACAGTATACAGTCAAACAACGATCTGTAATAATCAACTCTATACTACTTTTATTGTGTTTGTGAAGTAGTACAAGAGAAAATACTAGAATAATTTTAAGACTGAGCGCAAGAAGTTCAGGTATAAGAACAAACCTCGTTTTTTTTGTTTTTACTTACATGTGAAAGTCGTTTCTTTTCAACATCATAGCCAGGAAGCTCACGTCGACCAGCATATAGTATAGCAAGACGTAAATTATGAGGATCCAATCGGAATAAAGAGGATTTGGGCAGAATCTAAATGTGAGTCAACACAATAAAGAAAAATCAAAAACAAATTAACTACAGTTTATCATCTTACATTACATTCGATAAGTACTACCTTCCTCTCTCTCTCTCTCACACACACACACACACGAAAAAGTGAAATGTTTCATATCGAATATTAATACATAAAGGTGAATAGTACAAGCAATAAGGAAGGATTTTGGTCGTGAGCAAGTTGATCACGTCTGCTACTACGGGTATGAGGGCGGATGTCACTTCTTGGGTGACCACACCGTTGAAGGGTGCTTCTTAAGGACCCTGAAGAGAAAATAGGATTAATGTTGGTTTTAGAGATCTAGGTGTGTGAGCACAAAGTACAACAAACCACTGCTTGAGGCCGGTCACATACGGCCTTTTGATAGGTTTTTAAAGTGTCAGCTACGCTCTTCAAAACGCCTTACTGCCGGAGACGTAAATCCGTGAGGTAAGGTGAGACGAAACATCTCTAACACCTTTCTTCCTTGTGAGAAGGCAGCATCGTTGCAGGAGCTGGTTGTGTGAGGGGAACACAATACAGCTGTCAAACTCCGTTACAGTCAGCAGTACAACTTCGCCTTCAGACCTTAAGTTGCTACTTTTACTTTTACCGTTCTCCAATCAAGCTGTCTGATATGGTAGAACCTAGAGGAACATATGTTTCGACCAGTATAGTTATATAACTCTGTAGGATGATCACGACAGGCGAACCCAACTGATAACTACATCAAGGTAGCAGCTGTGGTCGGGGCAAACAACAGTGTAAAAATAAAGAGAAACCGACTAAGAAAATTTTCTCGTCAGAATTCTCTTTACTTTTATTTATTGACACAATGGTGTTAACGTTAAACAATGATATGTGTTTATGATATTCTGAAGAGTTAAAATAAGCCTCCTACTGTAGTGAAGAAGAACACAGGTGAGGGAAACCGAATTGTATTTATCGCAAATTACAGAGTTAATCAGTAAAATAGGAAAACCATATCGTAAACGGTTAATTTGCAAATCTTCAATCCATCATCAATCCATTGTCTGACATTGCACTATTCATGCGTTTCATACAAATTCCATTTTGTTCCCACTCTACTTCCTTTCTTGATCTTCCTCCATCTTCTGCTGCCAGACATTACGTTTTCACTCGCGTCATATACTACTACTTATAAGTAGCGCGCACCACACTAAGTGTGGAGACTATGCAAAAACAGTTACATCTAACTTTAGGCAGTTGTCTCTTAGGAATTATGGTTACATTTCTAGGTCTTAATCACCATCTCTATCCAAGTCACCTAAAACAAAATACATTACCATAGTTTGGGTAACTGTACTACTTCATATGCCTAACAAAACTCGACGATCACTTGGCAACGTGCCTCAATATATCTGATCTATGCGTTTTTCGTAACATCAACATTTTTCAACAAGTTACGTTTTTTTACTGGTTTGTTTAAACACGTCATTCATGTGTAGTAATTCTTGCATCATCTATCCAGGCAGAGGATACAAAAAAATTTTACGAGCTATCACTTCACAAGGTTTGAAAAAGAAAACAATCCGAGATATCTAGGTGGCTAAAAATCTGCTGAGAAAAAAAATGAACTGCTAACTTCCAACCGCCAAACATTAACTTTGTAAAGGGAACTTGTTGAAATATATTCAGTACTGATAATTTCATATTGTACTAAACATCCTGTGAAATGCAGGAGTAGTGGATGCGGAGTGCTGACGAGTCCAATACCAGGACGAAACAGCCGTCCAGTGCTTCCAGGTTTCTAATGGTGTTGGTCTAACTTCGATTGATTCATCATTTCAAAAATGTGTAACTTAACAATCTTCACAACCCCCAAATACGTTATTATTATTATTATTATTAACAGCTGTAAAGAATTCTCGTAAAAAAAGATACTTTACAACATTAAAATGACTGACCGAATGTTGTCGCTGTTCACCGCTGCTGGGTTGATCTCGCATTATAGAATTCGGCAATGGCCATGCATAAGCATTTACATATGGTAAACTTTGTGGTAACACAGTTGTTGTCGTCGTCTGATGAGCATCCGCAGCGGCAGTAGCACCAGTAGTACTTGTTGTATGATAATCTTTATCAGTTTTCTTATGATTATTTTTACGTAGAAATTTATTGACAAATGTTTTATTGTTCAAATCAAAATCTGCATTATTACGTAATGATAACGAGTATGGAGAACTAATGACTGGTGAACCACGATCGACAATTTCTTGATAAGTGATTAATTCCGACTTTAATGAATTAATTTGTGATTCCAATTCTTGTGCCTTGATTTAAAAAAAAATTTGAAATAATGAATACAATTAGGGAGAAATAATGTTATGCACGTCAATTGATATGCTTGAAACAACCATTACGATTTCACCTTAGTCGAGAGTGAAGACAAATGATTCAGTGATACGATAGGCTACTATAATCCAAGAGTCCCAAGGGCCCCACTTAGTAGAGGAAGAAGTCTTGACAAGACGTAGAAAGTATGTTATACAAGCACTCAGAAAATCGAGGTGTACAAGTACACAAATCGAGTTTATTTATACAACATGATAGAAACATCCTTGGGAGAGTCACAAAAATAGCCTTCTAAAATAATACATCAACCAGTAACAACAGTCAAGGATTTTCCCAGTGAGAAGTGTAATCTCAAGGTCAACTAAGCAGCTTATGCGCGAAAACACGAAGAAATCCAAAATTACGACCTTAATCAAGTGAAATTTTAATGGTCTGTGTTAAAAATTCGAACTAGGGCTCACTAACACTTTTAGTGGGCCCCTTGATCTGACTTTTAATTTACGTGAACGATCGAGTATGCATGCAGTGAAATACATCTTCTCTTCAGCTTTTGTATATCTGTATACCGCGTTTATTTGACAGTGGTCAGACGAGTTTATCTCAGGCAATTGTTCACACAGACAGAAGTGTGAGAATGAAAAGCATACAAGCAAAGTCGTACAAGCGGAGTCGATAAGGTGAGTCAGCCAATTCAGTGCAATAAATCATGATTAACTATTTGTAATCAGATAATAATAATAATAATCTAGACATGTAATAAGCGAAGTAGACAGTGAATACACAATCAAATAAAAACAATCAAGGTTATGAGCGAAAAATTGACAAGATCGAAACTCAAAGAGAATGGATTGACTAAATTGTCCAAAGGCTGCAACAAAACCCTATGGGCTCGACATCTTTGTGAATACACTACAAATTCACATCGTTCAAATTACGAGTTGATCTTAGTCAGACATAACTAGTGAAAACCTGGAAGCACTGAATAACCGGATAGTCTTAGATAGGACTCTTCCGAAGTGTGTGCTCACGACCCCGCATCCGTTATTTGAATTCAGGATATTCAATTCACGGATGTGAGGCTGTGGAAGCGTATTGTTCAGAAGTCTGACCTTACTAAGACGAGACGACCATCCATCGCTTTCATGCTTGTCTAAAATGAGTTTGTGGTTTAAACTATGAATATTCGACAATCTTTACAAACTCATTAAATATGAATGTTCAACTTAAACAAGCTATTTAGATCAAACGTGTTTAACCATTTAACATAGTGTGAATGTTAGTAACTAGTCATTCGCTATGTAGGCACAGATCGGTAAAGCAAGGGCAGAATTTCTACAATTAAAGAACATCTGGAACTCAAAACAACTGTCTATCAACCAACACCGAAGTCAGAATGTTCAATACAAACGTCAAGACAGTTCTGTTGCATAGAGTGGAAACTTGTACAACCACGAAAGCTGTTATCCACAAGATACAGGTGTTTATTAACAGTTATCTACGAAAGATACTACGCATCAGTTGGCCAGACACTATTCCGCAACAACCTACTGTGAGAGAGAACACAACAGATTCTGGTTGTAGAAGAAATTAGGAAAAAACGCTGGAGGTGGGTAGGATACACATTGAAGAAAGCACTCAACTGCATTACAAGACAAGTCCTCACTTGGAATCCTCAAAGTCAAATCAGAAGACAAATACCAAAGAACAAATCACGCAGAAAATCGGTAACAGACATTAACAGAATGAACAGCTACTGCTTAGAACTGTAAAGGATGACCCAAGACAGAGTAGGTTGGAAAATGTTGGTCAATGGTCTACGATCTATAAGGGATAACAGGCATAAGTAAGTAAGCAATGTCAGACCTGACATAATTATGCATCGATTCAAATTGGCACACAATATTAGTACAGTAAGACTGTGGTGCGAGCTACTTATAAATAGTATATGACGTGAGTGTCAACGTAATGTCTGGCAGCAGAAGATGGGGGAAGATCAAGAAAGGTAGAGTTAGAACACAATGGAATTTGTATGAAACGCATGTATAGTGACAATGGATTGTTGATGTTTTGCAACAGGAACAGTCTAGTTCGATATGATGGATTGATATTTTGCAAATGAACAATTTACGATATAGTTTTCCAATTTTACTAAGGAACGCTGTAATTTTCGTTAAATACAATTCGGTTGCCCCACCTGTGTTCTCGTTCACTACAAGACGAAACTGTCAAGACAAATTTCAGGATAGCAGTATTACTGATAGTAACGAAGCCTGAACATTAGAAAAAAACACGATTCAGGAAGAGAGAATCAACCGACGGGATGCATACAAATAATTATGAGACTCAAGATATCAGTAATAACAAAAGCAAATACACTTTAGTCATCGTGGCCAATTCTGAGCCCTAACCGTCCAACGTCTCATCCAACCATAGGCTATGAATATCGTTTAGACTGCCCACACAAACAATCTCCAACAAAACAACATGACTCTGGCGCGAACACAATCAATGACAACTCTTCATGGAGGACAATTGACTGATTGTATTTTTTTTCACTGACTTTAGATAAGATGTGTTCATATCAATAAAAAAAATGTATGAATTATAACCTACCTCAGATCGAATTGAAGCAATTTGAGCATTAATCATGTCTAATTTAACATTGGCTTCTGTTACAGCACGATCTAAAGCTAAAGTTTCTTCATCCACTACTAACGGAGTTTGTAAACGAACAGCACCACCACCACCACTGCTAAATTGTCTAACTAGACCTTGATAATCAGAAATTAAGAATTTTGATTCATTAGTAGTATTATTATTGCTACTCATTACAAAACGTGGATCATCATCGATTAGTGATGATGATGATGATGTATGACGAATTTGTTGTGCTTTAGCTAAGGTACGTCTACCTTGATGTAGATCTATTAATCCTTGTGATTCAGATGTTATTGGTCGAATAGATGGTCCAGTTGATGATGATATGTATCGATTGAAACCACCTGATTTGAGAAGATGAAGATGAAAAAAGTATATGCAAATAGGTAGTGATAAACAAAACAGGATGTTACACTACAGATTGTTGGAAATATATTATTCGAATAACTTCTACTTTTGATTATCGCATCCAATGAATTTAGTTACACACCAAGCAAAGATTCAAGTTATATTCTACGGTATTCGGGTAAGTGATACAATCCCTGATTGACAAAAACGAAGTGAAAAAAGAATTTGAAACTGGCTCCCTACTTGACAATTGTTGCCCAGTGATTCTAATAGTTGAGAGTTCACTGCGAGACCTTGGATCCCGTTTCTGTAGTGAATCGGAGATTTTTATGCTAGAAATGGATGTCGAATTCCCCTCTAATTTATAACGGAACCTTCCCACGAAGTCTCCTCTTCTCTTAAGCCTGTTACCCCAAATGGAGTATAGGCCGCTGACTAGTATTCTCCAACCTGCATTTTGTCCTAGGCCTCCCTTTCCAGTTCTGTTCAATTTTTGTTCATTCTTCTCATGTCTGTCTCCATTTCTCGGCGTAATGTGTTCCTTGGCCTTCCTCTTTTCCTTTGACCCTCAGGGTTCCAAGTGAGGGCTTGTCTCGTGACGCAGTTAGGTGATTTTCGTAGTGTGTGTCCTATCCACTTCCACCGCTTCTTCCTGATTTTATCATCCACTGGAATCTAGTTTGTTCTCTCCCACAGTACGTTGGTGCTAATGGTGTCTGGCCAACGAATACGAAGTATTTTGCGTAGACAACTGTTAATGAATACTTTTATCTTCTGGAAGATGACTTTCGTAGATTTCCAAGTTTCCTCCACATACAGTAGAACTGTCTTGACATTTGTATGCGAAAATTCTGACTTTGGTGTTGGTTGACAGACAGTTGTTTTGAGTTCCAGATGTTGTTCAATTGTAGAAATGCTACCTTTCCTTTGCCGATCCGCGTCTTCACATCTGCATCAGATCCACCCCGCTCGCGTCAATGATGCTGCCCAGATATGTAAAAGTTTTTATGTCCTCCAAGGCATCTCCATCAAGAGAGATTTGGTTGGCGCATGTTGTGTTGCATCGGAGAATTTTGCTTTTCCCTTTATGTATGTTGAGACTTGTTGCTGCTGAGGCCGCCACCAAACTGGTCATCTTCTCTTGCATTTGTTGTGGCGTGTGCGTTAGAAGAGCCAGATATCATCTGCCAAATACAACTAGTAAATTAAGCTAATCTCTCTCGAGATAGAGAGATAAAAAACTTTCCAAATAAATTAAAATCTAAGTTGGAATCCGTTGAAAACTATAATTGTTACGCCTGCACGTAAACACGTCAACTTGATATACTTGAACTATTACGAGTTTACCTAGTCGGAAAACGAGAGCGAGGATCCGGCGACACAACATGCTACTCAAATCCGATTATCCCAAACCCCATATTGAGTAAAAATAAGAAGACATGATATGAAGTTGAGCCTGTATTCTACAATCCTCCAGAAACTATGAGGGCCGAATCCAGAAGAGAATCAGGATCCCGGACTAGGGATCCGAGACCGAGCCCTGGTCCTGGTCCTGGTCGTGGTCACAAAATGTTACAAATGATGCGTTTTTTACATTTTGGTCGGATAGGAAACAGCATCGAATTATGTAGAATTGACAGTTAAGATGACCAATAGGAAGTAACATTTGTAATGACATTGATAGTCAGGACAACCAATAAGAAACAAACATTGAAGTATTTAACTTTGACAGTTATAACGACCATAATTTTGACCAATAAAAATCAACCAATAGGATTTGACCAATAATAATTCTCTTAGGATATTGGATGAATATCCTAACTATCATCAAATTAAAAAACACTTACCACAAACCAACTGTCTAGCTGTATTCGTAGCAACCAAACTAGCAACTGATGGAGTTCGTACAGTCGATGATTGTTGTTGTGCAACAACAATTTGTGAATAATCATTCGTTGAATTAATTGGTAAAATTAAACTAGTCAATGGACTACTACTACCGCCAACGGTGGTAGTAGCAGCAGCAGCCAAAGTACGTCTTAATATAGCAGGAGGTGGTTTACGAGGCAATATTGGTGGTAGCGATGATGTAACAGTAGATGTAGTTGTGTTAGTAGCATCTGAGGATACATC